CAATGCCCACACATTTAATGCTGTCAGTTTTTCTCCTTTATCTATTTAGGACCTGTTCATTCCTACTGAAAAAAAATTATAATGTAGTTATTGGTTTTCTCTGCCTATAGCAAATTAGTAGCAATAAATTAGAAGTAGGGAAGAGAAGAGGTACTTAACACTGAGCGAGGAGATAGAAAAACTAACATAGACATACATGAAACATTTTTTTTAATGAAAAAGCATTATCACCTAAGAAATTTCAGGACACAGGCACATTCCTTTTGATTACATTTTATTCTACTATAACACTATCAAAATAATAGTGTTATTACCACTGCCCTTAAATCACTAAGAAAAAAATTCCTCTATACTCAATATGCATTGCTGAAGAAGGCAGATAAGTAAGTAATATACTTTAGACAAATTTTTATCCTGTTGGATAAAATAGTCTGGTACTTAAGAGAGTGAGTTTAAGTAATCTGGAAATTTCATTCAGAGAGAAGACAGTTTTGCCAACCAGACAGACAAAGGAAACTCTATGTTATTGTGCACAGGAAGGCCAAATAATATAAAAAATTAAGCTTGTGAAGGATCTGATATCCCTGGAAGAGAAGAACATGTTATCATTAAAGGTTATATAAATTCTTAGAGGCAAATTAAAGTTATATTAATTGATGTTCACCCCAAGACTCAGTGAAGAATCGAGGGCTTTCAACTCAACTCCCAAACTTGAACTTTATGAAAAAGATTTACTGGCAAAATCAGGTGACACATTTTTAACATACAGACAGTTGATAAGAGAAAGAAGATTCTAGATAGTGGAGATAAAATTACTACTTTTTTGCTTCTGATTATTCTCCCCCTACGGCAACACACAATCCTGAAATTGCTAGAGCATGTATGGGGTTTCCTACTCCTGGAGCACCAACAAAATGAGTCACACAAACCTAGCAGTTGTGTACAGTGCAGGGCACACTGTAATAGCTATAGTCTCTGCTATCATCCACAGGTTGGAGGAGCCATCAATACCTTCTTGGATTCTTTTTATACTCACAGCTAATATCAGTATGCTCCACCCCAGATTCAGGCAGAGCCAAGGCTGAATCCTGGCAAGGGACCTTTCTCTCACTTCCCATTGATAAAATGAAAGATGGGGCCAGATTGTCTCTAAAGCCTATCTCAGTTCTAAGATCCTACGAACCTAAAAACAATTATGTTTATTATTTTAAGTCATGATAGCTACAATTTAACAGTCTTCCAATTACCTATTTGCTCAAGTTTCTCTTTAAATTCCCTATACTGAGCATTACTTTAAAAATATATGAAGAATATCTCTAATTCTATGTGTGGAATTTGTTTAGATAAACAAATAATTTTAAATACCAGATTTTTTTAAAGCAGCAACTTTTTTTTAGTATATTAAAATACAGGTCAGACAATGTATCTGACATATACAATAGTTTCTTAAAATGATTTAAGACCAAGTTGCCTATAATTAGTTATGAAAATATTGCAAAGAGCTGAACCAAAATAAAACTAAATAAGCCAGCTAGCTACTAAACTACACATATGTCCTCAAAATCTTACGAGAGTCAAATATTCCAGTAAAAAATAACAGAAGAGATGGAAACACAAGTTTCTTATTATCACACTTCATATGTTATAAAACATAATAGCTAACTTATTTTTGGCAAAATGATTAAGGATTGTAACATTCTGGCTTACACAAACATATTTGTCAAATGCATCTCAAATGGAGCATGTCATGCTAACTTCAGGCATGCAGCACTGCAGTGTCTTAGAGTAGCCCAGAGACACTGAAATTTCAACACTTTGGCAGGGATCACACCACCAATATTCACTGACCCAGGTGTTTAATGGGGGCTGGGGATGGGGTAGGGAATTTGAACAATGTAGTTAATTGAAACCAGATAAAGCTTCTGAATAATAATTTAAAAATCATACAGATGTTCACTGCCCCTCCCACCCCCCAAAAGAGGTGACCTTTTGGACAATTTATTGCACACATTATTTTCTAGCCTACGCCCTTTTTAAGAAGATAAAACACTGCTTCACATGTCTTTCTGAAAACTCTATAATCAGTTTGAGTTATGTCTCCACAAATAAAGTAGGTTAAGCTCAAGTTTCATCTTTGTTTCCCCTTTTCACCACTATTCCCGCAAAAGCAAGGACACCTGAAGGCAGGACAATAATTAGAAAGTTATGATGCTGAACAAGCTATAAGAAAGCGCACTAAATTTGAGATGCATTCTACTTCTTTCCCAAAAGACATTGTGAGTATGAGCCCAAAAAGAGAGAAGGGTTCAAGATAATGTGTTGAACAATCGTTTTCAAATACACAAAAGAGAAACCACACATCACATGCAGAATAGATCCAGAGAAAACACAAAAACCATAACAGATATGTGATTAATAATAGCCTGTGATGAGCTCCGAAATGAATATTTTCTTGCCTATGTTTACAGAACAGTAATGCTATTATTTCAAATGTGCAGGTATCCTTTTTAATGTTTTTAAAGTGTTTAAGACACCTGGAACAACTAACAACAAATAATTATATTTCATGTCAGTTTGCTACATTTTATTTGACATGTCCAAGTCACTGCCTATACCAGTAAATAAATGCAGTAATTTAATTTATGTACATCCTATGTCCATGTGCTTGACTGCACAACACACAAGTGAAATCCTAATTTTAGAGTGGTGGGGTACGCAGCTCTGACACAGCTCCCAATGACCTTCACCTCCTAGTATTCATGCCCTTGTGTAATTATCTCCCCTTGAGTGTGGGCTAGATGTAGTAACTTGATTCTAACAAGAATACAGGAAACGTGATGGGATGTCACTTTGTAACTGGGTTACAGCCTGTGACTTTCATCTGCTAGCAGCCTGTCTCCCTGGCTCTTCTTTCAGGCATGCTCTAATGAAGTAAGCTAGACAGGCCGACATGTTAGAGAAGGTGGCCTCTACCCAACTGCCACCACTGAATGAAGGCCCTCTGTCTAACAACACTCAAGGAATGGGATCCTGTCAAAAACTACATGAGTGAGCCTGGATGCAGATCCATCTCAACTAAAGCCTTCAGATAAGACTGCAGCCCTGGAAGACATGTTGGTTAAAATCTTGGCAGAGACCCTGAAGCAGAGAACCCAGCTAAGCTGTGGCCAGACTTCTGACCAGAAACTATGAGTGAAGAAAGGTATATTGTTTTACACTGCTAAATTTTGGGGCAATTTGATACACAGCAGTAGATACCTAATACAACAGTTAACCTAATGACTGAGACAATGACTAGAGTTATTTCCCTAATAATAATAATAGCTAATACTTATTTGGAACTTTAAAGTTCCAGAAATCATTCTTGATGCTTTATATAATTCCTCACAAAAATCCTTTGAAGAACATATTATTATACCCATTTTATAAATGAGGAAACTGAGGTTGAGACTCAAAACTGAAGTAGAGACTTAATAACTTGTCTAAGATCAGACAGACTAAAAAAAAAAAAAAAAAACAATAAATATTGGAACCTAGGTGTCCTGGTTCTAGAGCCAGAACTCACAGCAACTGTACAAGTAGAACCACTAAGAGGCAGGGCTGGACACCATAAAGATGGCAACCACATGACACAGTATGAGAGGAGACTTCAAAGGCACAAAAGACATTAGAAGCTGTGCAAAATGCTAAAAGCAAGAATAAAGCCTGCATTCTGATTAAGACACCTTATTTAGGGGAAAAAGAAACCAACACAGTAGACAGTAATACAGAGAACAGAGTACAATCTTGAATTTATTGAATTCACACTTAGAAATGAAAAACACATTTTCTTATACCCAATAATAATTTAAAACCTCCATTTATTATTAAAAACCATAGCAAGGGAGGCTATAGCTGTACATTTCCCAAGGGCAATTATGAGTAAGAAGTAAGTAGGTGAAGCTGGTGAGAAAAGGAGCGAGTGCTTAGTGAGCTCTGAGACCCCACTGAAGAGATTTTATCCCATGGAGTGAGAAACAGTCAAAATCCTAGCACAAAGTGGCCATGAAGCGATCATGTCCTATCTTGGCTTCAGATTACTAGGTTTATCAGCACTCCATGCTCCCACACCCCCTGAACTTAAACAAGACAGCAGGTATCACATCTATTGGTTAGACTGTCTCCTCAAGCAGACTCCAGGCTCTCCTACTTCAAAGACTGTCTTACTCACTGGGATGTCCTCAAAACATAGCACAGGATCTGACACATGGAAAGGGCTTAATATATGTTTGTTGAATAAAGAAGAAATGAATTATCTTGTGAATTGCATCCATTCAGTGAGTTATTTCAATGGTATATGTCAGTGGAAGTACAATGTTTTGTTTGGTTTTATATCTCTTATAGTTCACTTGCTTTCCTGGGCACTTTAAATAGGTCTTTATGTCTCTAGCACCTCACTTAATATCTGGCACATAGTGGTACCCAATAAATATTTGCGAGTATTTGTGAGTATGTGTCTCAAAAAGGCCGCCAAGATACAGAACAGGTAAGGATCTGGACTTATGACTTAATAAAGATGTAGTGCTCCATAAAGACAGCGTCTGCCTATCAGTGATGATGATGACACATTTCTTCCTTCTGAAAAAGGCAAGAATATTTACAAAATACCTTCCCACAAAAGACAGATTCTTGTCTAGGTCTTACCTAGTGACTACTCTTAAATATTTCTTTATAAAAAACAGCAAATAATGTGTAACATAAGAACTCCAGATAACCCTAGATTCAAAGGCATTCTTTCAGAAACTTCCTATCTCCCTCAGCATTATTCTTTGAAACATTATGAACATACATTCACATAAGTCCATCATAATATGGAGATAAGGATAAAGGCAGCAAGCACATATCCCTCTCTCTGTTCTATTTATCAACCGAACAAGAGACAAAAGAACATAGGAAAGGTGAGGAGGATTTGTGCAGGCCCACAGTCCAGCACCCACAGTCACCTCTGGAGATGTACTTACCAGGAGCTCAGGGACTCGCTTCAGCATCTGAAGAGTGAAATAGCTGCCTATCGAATGGCCAATGAGCACAAGTTTCATGTCCTTTGGCACATGAGTTCTCAGGAAAGCTAGTTTGTGCTCTATTTGTCCATTAAGTCCATAGATGTCCTTAATTTCTTGAGCATTTGAATCTAAAAGCAAATTATGGGCATGTTTTCATTCAGTAAGTAAAAGTAATCACTGAAAAATGATCAAGAAAAAGATAACAATCATGATAAAAAGCAGTTACCATTTATCAAAGCCTACAGTGTGCCAGTGATAATATTAGGCATTCATTATATTAACCAATTTTCACAACAATTTTCGGAAGGAAACATTATAACCTTCACCTGATAGGTGAAAATCCCAATGCTCATAGATATTAGGTGACAGATTAACAGTCACAAACTTATTAAGTGGGAGAGGTGAGATTCAAATTCAGGTCTCCAAATCCTCAGAGCCCATGAACTTTCAATAATTCCGTGTATTACTGTTAGCTTAGGCCAGTGGTTCTCAAACTTGAGCATACATCAGAATCCCCTTGAAGTCTTGTTAAAACATATGGCTGGGCTCCACACCCCAGGGTTTCTGTTTCAGCAGGTCTAGGCTGGGGCCTGAGAAGCTGCATTTCCAAGTTTCCAGAGGATGTTGATGCACTAGGTCCCAGCACCACACATTGAGTACCAGCTGCTTAGGCTAATTTATATTACTAACAGACAACTAAGAAAGTCCAAGATATGACTTAATTATTTTAGATAATCTTTATTTATTTAAGGAATCCAGATGGAAAAACTTAAGTAGAAATGTTAAAAACTGTCCCCCTTTTTTTTTCTTTTATGCTTTAAGTTCTAGGGTACATGTGCACAACATGCAGGTTTGTTACATATGTACACATGTGCCATGTTGGTGTGCTGCACCCATTAACTCATCATTTACATTAGGTGTATCTCCTAATGCTATCCCTACCCCATACCCCCTCCCCACAATAGGACCCGGTGTGTGATGATCCCCTTCCTGTGTCCAAGTGATCTCATTGTTCAATTCCCACCTATGAGTGAGAACATGCGGTATTTGGTGTTCTGTTCTGGCAACAGTTTGCTGAGAATGATGGTTTCCAGCTGCATCCATGTCCCTACAAAGGACACGAACTCATCCTTTTTTATGGCTGCATAGTATTCCATGGTGTATATGTGCCACATTTTCTTAATCCAGTCTGTCACTGATGGACATTTGGGTTGATTCCAAGTCTTTGCTACTGTGAATAGTGCCGCAATAAACATACGTGTGCATGTGTCTTTATAGCAGCATGACTTATAATCCTTTGGGTATATCCCCAGTAATGGGATGGCTGGGTCAAATGGAAAACTGTCCCTTTTAAATAACCAGCATAGTCCTGACCTGAAATATCCTCCCTCTCTGTCACAAATGAACTACTTTTCTAGGTTCTTCAAGACCTAATTAAAACTTTACCTAGCTAATCCTCAAGAAAAATTAATGAGCTCTCTTCTGTGCTTAATCAGTACCTCTTTTATTATAGCACTTTATCAAACTTGCATATTGTCTGTTTGTATGTTTATTTCCTCTCTTAGGCTGTGAGTTCCTTGAAGGCAAGGTCCATCTTTTCATCTGTGTCCTGTGACTAGTACACAGCAAATGTTATTGTTGAATGAAAATTGGAACTGACTAGATGATCTCTGAGGATGCTGGCCGCTCTAATATTCTATGAGTAGAATAGGTTTTCCCTATGAACATATATGTAACCCAATGACAGGGTGTAATATTTCAAAATATCATAAGACAGTCAACTGCTTCCTAAAATTTGAATGACTGAACACTGAATTTCTTGCTCTTATGACTTGCAAGGCATTGAGGGGAATTATAATCGGTATGGTTCATTCAAAAGGCACCCCAAACTCAGAAAAACTACTCTTCTGTTTTGTTTGTACAGGTTTTTGTTTGTTTGTTTTTAGTGCTTATCTCCACTTTTAGTCTAAGTCCTGTTTATCCTACAAACTTGAAACACGCATTATCTCCTCTGAGAGACCTTTTTATGATTCATTATGTGAGGAGTAAAGTGGCTGTCTTTTCAGTTTCCACAACATCCCTGTTTATTTATCTCCCTATACTACTCCTAATTCACTCTTAGTTTACAATTCAGGTCTTGCTTAGCACTGCTCCCCAAAGTCCAGCATACAGTTATTGAAAAGCTTTTTCTTGACTCAATGAGGCTTACTTCCCTATTTCCATAGTACTATTAATCTCCCAGGTAAAACATGTTATGCTCTCACTCTTTTTCCCAGGTCAGCTTACAATTCATTCTCTACTTAACAAGAAAGTTAAGCATGAAACAGAACTGGGAAGACAGAGAATCTGGAAACTGACTTTGGTAGGACTTCTAATGGCTCCAAATCCACCTTTTTATGCATGAAATATTACATTTAGGTTTGAATAGTTCATACCCTGCTTCTCTAATCACTCTACCCAAAAGTGATCATATCATTCTTTCATATGAAAACACCACAATAATATTAATATTTGCATCCCAAGTTCTTTTTCAAAATATGCAGCATTTGGAAATATCCAAGTTTTCCTTTTGTTGGGACAGTAGGTGCAGTACAAAGATAAACAGGCTCTGGAGATGAGATAAATCTGGGTTTAAATCTCAGCTCAGCATCTCCCTAACTGTGTGACTTGAGCAAATCCTTTAACCTAGGCTTCAGTTTCCTCATACACAAAATAGAGATAATAATGCTAGCTTCCAATGGCTGTTGTTTAAGTGCCTGGCATAAACAGATAAATAAAAGCTATGACTGCCATCATTTCAATTCCTGTTATTTAAGTCCTCCTTCAAATAATACCAAGAACATTTACATGGTTAGAGCAAAGAGAAAGAAAATGAATTAAATATTCTAAAATTTCATTGACATCATAAATAAGGTCCTAAAACATTGTATTTCAGATAAACTTTAAAGGACATTATAAATCAGAATATTTCAGGGGTAGATCTGACTTTACCTCTGGGAACTACTCAGTAGATTTTCAAGAAGAACACACTACGAGTTAGTGTTTGCCGAAGTGGTAAGATTAATGGGGAAAGTACTTTCTAAAAATGAACAATGATTGAAAATTTTAATGTGCTATCTTTTAAAATTTATTTTTATTTTATTTATTTATTTTTGAGATGGAGTCTCACTCTGTTGCCCAGGCTGGAATGCAGTGGCACAATCTCAGCTCACTGCAACCTCTGCCTCCCGGGTTCAAACAATTCTCATGACTCCCAGGTAGCTCGGATTACAGACGCACACCACCAGGCCTGGTGAATTTTTGTAGAGATGAGGTTTCACCATGTTGGCCAGGCTGGTCTCAAACTCCTGACCTTAGGTGATCCACCCACCTTGGCCTCCCAAAGTGCTGAGATTACAGGTGTAAGCCATACTCCCAGCCTATCTTTTTTCATGTTACTAATAAATAAAATTCTAGATATTATTTTACTAGCAGAAAATGAAAGGTTAAAAGACTATATACTTGGGCCGGGCGCGGTGGCTCAAGCCTGTAATCCCAGCACTTTGGGAGGCCGAGACGGGCGGATCACGAGGTCAGGAGATCGAGACCATCCTGGCTAACCTGGTGAAACCTCGTCTCTACTAAAAAAATACAAAAAACTAGCCGGGCGAGATGGCGGGCGCCTGTAGTCCCAGCAACTCGGGAGGCTGAGGCAGGAGAATGGCGTAAACCTGGGAGGCGGAGCTTGCAGTGAGCTGAGATCCGGCCACTGCACTCCAGCCTGGGCCACAGAGCCAGACTCCGTCTCAAAAAAAAAAAAAAAAAAAAAAAAGACTATATACTTGATTACATATTTTTATTCCTATTATTTTAATAGTAATATAAGCTGAGAAAATGCTAGTAATTATTAACTTACTCTCCAAAAAATGCAGAAAAAATTACATTCAGTTGTATTGAAACCAGAAGAATGCTAATATGGAAATCATTTATACCATTCTTTCTATGAGGAAACTGTACTCCAAGTTATAATCAACGAAGCACATTTGGAACATAATCTGTTTCTAAATTGAGAACTGCCTGAGTTGGTGGATGACAATACAATCCACCATATTGTTACTAATAAATGGTCCTAAGTATCATATTGATAATTTTCTCTTAGAACCTAAGCCTATTTCTTAGACCCATCTCTATTAGATATCACTTCACAGCTCACCTATCGGTTCTACAGTTTATTTCAAAAGGTATACACAACTTGTTCTGAAATAGTTAGTAGAGAAATTAAATAAAATCAGTACTTCACATTAACTTTTTGTCTAATCGCTCAAATTTGCTGGTCCAGTCATTAAAGTTATTAAGCAGTCATTAAAAGTGCTTTCAATTTTAAATTCCCTTACAGCCTCAGAACACAGATAAATCTCATGATTATTATTTTCTTCATTTTACATGAACTGAATTGACTACTCTGACAGAAAACAGTGACTAATTGGCCCTTGGTATTATTGAAAGTACAGACATAAGTAAAATATACTACCTTTGCCTTTCAGGAGATCACAATCTACTAAGAGGAAACAGACATAGATAAAAACGCAATTATTAAATGCCAAAGTTAAGTATCTCAAGCATTTGCTTGAGAAAAGAACAGGGTTTATTGGATCACAATAGAAGGGTAATGGCCCTTTGATTCATAAAAAGTACTGTACCTTTTCCCACTCTACCCAAGATAAATAACTAGAAGATATTCTTTATTACATGTATGTTACTATAAACGTATGCATTTAACTATGTATCTGAATCCAAGCAAAACAGTTTAAATTTAACTGCCATTCATATATATGGCTATATATTGAATAAAAATATGTAAGTTCAACTATTTATTTTCATGCAAACAGCATTTATAGGTCATCTCTGACCATAGAACAGACAAGACTGGAGATTAGCACTACACATGCCTTTGGTAGGACTGAGTCTGCATACTGTAACTACATCTCACACCAGAATTTGCTCAGCTACTAAACTCTTCCATCCTGCCCCCAATCATTACTCCAAAGCTGTATCTTAATAACTTTAATTAAACAACCTACATGTAAAAATTCAAAGGCTAAAAATAATATTTCATATTTTAAAGAATTCTTTGCTCAAGATGAAAATA